CCCCACTTTAGTGGAAATAATAATAATAATAATAATAATAATAATAATAATAATAATGACTGGATGTAGTAGTCGTAAAGAAAAAGAAAATCGCTCAGATTTAGCTCTTCTGACGGATCACAGAGACTATCTGAAAAATATGAAAGGTGAATAAGTTATTTGTTTATTTTGTTATACTGCATATCAACCGACAACATTTTTAGGATAGGTTCGTATGAATAGAATATGTATTCTTTGGTTTAGTTTGATTTCGTTTATTTTGTTTTACGGCATATCAACCTCAATGGATTATTTAATGCCGACAAGATTTTTAGTACAGGTTCATATGAATAGAACATGTATTATTTGGTTTAGATTGGTTTGGTTTATTTTGTTTTACGGCATATCAAGCTCAGTGGGTTATTTAATGCCAACAAGATTTTTAGGATAGATTCGTATGAATAGAATATGTATTCTTTGCTTTAGTTTGGTTTCATTTATTTTGTTTTATGGCATATCAACCTCAATGGGTTATTTAATGCCAACAAGATTTTTATTGCTGGTAATATTTTTTTTCAAAAATGTATTGCTAGTAATTTTTTTTTCAAAACTATATTGCTGATAATATTTTTTTCGAAAATGCAGTGACTTTATTTCGCCCACTGGGGTAGACTGTTCTAGTGAGCGAAATAAAGGTTTCAGTTCGATATTCCAACCACCTGAAGAAAGCCGGAGCGTACAACGGCTGAAACGTTGTAATAAATATGGCGACAACGATGAGGAAAATAGTCCGAATAATGTAAATAGTGTACATAATACATCATCTCAGAAATATAGACATATACTTAACATTTCCTTTACAATTCCGTGATCGTTATAATCGCTATGACGAAAGGTAATCGTGATACAGTATCCTTGAAAAATGTATCTTATGTTGATTACACTTAGTGATTTTCCTCCTGCAGTTAACTCTCTGCTCCGTTTTTTGGTTTTTCTGGGTTGGCTATAAATGTGGCTACATGGTCTTCATAAAATATGATAAATTGTTCTAAAAAATCTTTATATCATATTGATTTTCTTGTACGCCTTTGTTTCTTTCAGGGTGTTTTTTCCATAAATAATAAGCGGTTAAGGCAGTGGAGAACTTGGAGAGGAGAATTAACAGGAGATAACTGATAACTGACATCCATTAGACATGGCACGTGGAACTAGAACAGTCTACACCAGTGAGCGAAATAAAGGGTTCAGTTCGACATTCCAACCATCTAAAGATAAAATAGCGACAGATAATGAAGAAGGCCGGAGCGTACAACGGCTGAAACGTTGTGATAAATATGGCAACAAAGATGTGGACAATAGTCCGAATAATGTAAATAGTGTACATAATACCTCATCTGAGAAATATAGACAGATACTGAAGTGCCGAAACGTTGTAATAAATATGACAACAAAGATGAGGACAATAGTCCGAATAATGTAAATAATGTACATAATAACTCATCTCAGAAATACAGACAGATACTGAAGAAGGTCGGAGCGTACAAGGGCCGAAATATATATAGAAATATAGACAGATGTGGCGACAAAGATATATAGAAATATAGACAGATACTACGGAAGAAGAGATCGTCTAGAAGAAAAGGACATATTATGTAGGAGATGGATGAAAATAGTTTTGTATTGTTATTCCTGTAGTTTTGGTGTAGTCACAAAGAGTAAGCCAGAAGTGTGGAGGAATTAGCCTGCTCTTGCTCATTCCAGCTACTTTCTTGATGTCAGCAGGTCCCTCCCCACCTGGAACTGGCGCAGTCACCATAGCTTTCAACTCTTTCTAGATACAGTTTCATAGTCTCTTCTCTAAGACTGCGTTGTCAAAGGAATGACTGATGCAATATTGCTTGAGCTTTTTCACTTCTCTACCATTTTCTATGTTGAAGAGTGTTCTCTAAATTTCTTCGGTGATTTTACTAACTGTTTGTGATAGCGCTTAGTGGAGTGCATTGTTATGTGTCTACGCCTAACCGGATATTCCAAGCAGTGATGGAAGGTGAGGAGGTACGGCGCAGTAATGGATAGCGGCTTAGATTATGGAATCGGTGAGCCGAGTTCGAATTCCATGGCGACAAAGATGAGGACAATCGAATCCACAACATTCACTTACGCGCTAATATCCTTGGGAAAGGTGTGAATCCTCTTCTTCTCCCTCCAGCTATGGGTAAATAGCAGGACAGACTGGGTTCTATAGCCTTGGATGGCAACGGTCTAGAAGAAGGATAACTCTGAATTCAAACCCGGTGTGGAGTCCCTAAGGCGGATGGACGGCACTTTGTGCTACCTTCCGGCAACTCCTGCAGCCGCTCTGGTACGAAACTGTATTGGTTTATCCTCTCTTTTGGATTCTGCTAGCAAGGCCGAGTGGGGGAACTAGACGTCTGGGCAGCCCTAGTTCTCCATATATCCCGCTCAGGCTCGTAGCGACGGATGCCGACGACGACGACGGTGGTAGGCGAGACTATTATTGATGCGTTTTACACGCCTGAATTGGCCAAAAGAGTGTACTTCGTATCACTTCAGCTGCTTTCTTCACTTTATTCCCAGGGCAAGATGTGACGTTTAAAATCTGCTTTCTCGTTATTTCCAGATTGGATCCTCAATACTAGATAACATTTTGTAATAATAAATTGTCTACTCAGTAAAAATATTGCCAGGTCCATTTTTAATTTGCTTTACAGGATCAAAATCTGGCCAAGTGAATCGAAAAACTTATTTCTCGTCAATAAAGTGATGCTTTAAGACTTCAGGAGATAAATCAGACAATTGCATTTCAAGCAGCGACAGCAGCATGTAAACAAAATAAATGAACTTTTAACAAGCTTGTGGGGACCTCAGAAGTCGACGGGAATAAAAAAGAAAGGCACATATGCAAAAATAAGATAATTTCCCCGGCTCCTTTATTTTCCTTGCAACGAATCTCTAAACTAAATTATTATGACAAATACAGGATCGAACAATCGATTACAGATTAAGGAAAAAAATATAGATAATTACGATCAAGGATTATAATGCCAGCAGATAAACGTTATTGATAGCCTTCTTTTTGTAACTTCAGTTTCCTCTCATTGTTCCATTTGACAATCTACAGGGTGCGGCTGGTATTTGAGGACAGATTTTATGGATTAGTAAAAAACTTGCTGAACAAATTATATTTGATTACAAACAATTAAAAATGAAATTTAGCTAACTATTATTTAATTTTATTCAATAAAATCACCACTAGCATTAATAACTGCCTCTACACGAGGTCGAAATCGGCTGCAAGCTCTGATTAATTGGTCCTTATCTATGTCAGACATTACTCGAACTATTGCAGCTTTAAGAGAGTCTTTAGTGTTATAAGGCTGGTTATTAACCTCCTTCTCAACAACACTCCACACATAATAGTCTAGTGGATTGAGATCTGGAGAGTTAGGAGGCCAAATGTTGGGTGTGATGTGGTCGTACAAATGGTTAGCCATCCATTCTTGTGTTCGTAGAGCCTTGTGGGATGGAGTCTTGCTGGGATATGTAAGGCCTGCCGTTGCATATGTTGTCAATCCAGGGCTTGACAAGTGTTTCTAGAACCGCAATGTAAGCAGCAGCATTTACTCTAAGACCTTGTGGTAAAAAATGTGGTGGCATAACACGTCCTTCATTGCTAACAACACCCAATATCAAAACACTTGAATGAAATTTTGTGCGCATCACTCTTGGCACCTCAGAAGGATCTGAACAAAGACATCTGTCATTTCTTGTGTTACGTTTTTGATCAAAATTTTTCTCATCTGAGAAAAACCAAATCACACCTGCTTCTGAAGGATTTTTCAGTTTGTTTAAAAGCATTTTGGATCTGTTGAAACGGTTTTCTTTTGTTTTTTCAGACATAAATTGACTTCTCTTCTTCGCGTTGGCCTTGTATCGAATGTCTTCATGAACACACCTTCGTTTTTTCAGACACATTCAGCTTTTTGGCAATTGACCTCACTGATTGATCTCGGTTTTCATCAATTGTATACTTGACTTTCTGAATAAATTCAGATGTTTATTAGAACGTACAGAATGTTTACTCTTTCCCTATTCACAAATTATTTTTAGTATTTTAATCTAATTGGATCGATGCGTAATTTTATCATTAAGCAGTTTTTCACATGTTTGTTGGGTATTCTGTTGCGTTCTCTGTCGTAGCAACTGTTCGAGTTGTTTCAATGCCCAGGGTAGCATCGTTCTTTTAAATCCCTGCAGACACCGTGTCGACTTCTTTATAAACCGTTGGCTCTCTTTATATGTCGTCGCAGTGTTATCTGTTTTTAACTTTCTTGCATACTGGATAGCGTTGAATTAAGTCAATCGCCAGTTGTTCACACAACGCTGGAACCTGTACATTGTTTTACCAGGACAAATTTTACTCCACTGGCGGCTTTAGAATAGCCAGTGGCCAACAGCCGGTGGAAAAGTTCTGTGACAGAGTTAAGACTAGAGGAGGACATTGATGATCTTCCCAACTACTGCAGAGCAACAACAGAAAATTTAGGAAAGGTGGACAAAATTTGCACCTTTAAATCTGAAGCATTAGTAATAGATGTAAATATATTTACGTTTGTTTTCTCTTTTACTGCCAAGTAAACATATAAGCGTACCTACTTGTCGACCTGAAATATGCAAACATTCGTTAAGTAGATACGCAAGCAATATTCCGCTGCAATAAGAAAGACACGGAATGAAGAAATTTGTTTCATCCATGCTCGTCAAGAGAATTGCATATTCATGAAGCTGTTGTCTGAAAAACTTTGTTAACCTGTTTTGCTGTAAGGCCACGGCCTTTCTACAGAGTCTCGATTGCCCTTGGCCATTCATCAGAAGTAAGGTTGGCTTTCTCTACGGAGAGCATCACCTCGTCTGTAATGATTTTGAATTTAGCTTTATTGTTGTTGAGAATAATAATATAGTGAATGGACAGAAGAAAGAAAACAAGAGAAAGTAAAAGATTAAAGGATAGGTATAAGGACTGAGATAGATAGATAGATAGATAGATAGATAGATAGAAAAAGGAGGTAGATAGATAGATAGAATGACTGAGATGGATATAAATACTGAGATAGAGATAGATAGATAGATAGATAGATAGATAGATAGATAGATAGATATAAAAACCGAGGTTGATAGATAGAATGAATGACTGAAATAGATAGATATAAAAACCGAGGAAGATATATAGATAGATAGTTAGATAGATAGATAGATAGAATGACTGAGATAGATAGATATAAAAACCGAGATAGATAGATAGCTAGATATAAAGACTGAGATAGATAGATAGATAGATAGATAGATAGATAGATAGATATAAAAATCGAGGTAGATAGATAAATAGATAGATAGATATAAAAATCGAGGTAGATAGATAAATAGATAGATAGGTATAAAAACCGAGTTAGATAGATAGATAGATAGATAGAATGACTGAGATAGATAGATAGAATGATTGAGATAGATACATAGATAGATAGATAGATATAAAAACCGAGGTTGATAGATAGAATGAATGACTGAAATAGATAGATAGATATAAAAACCGAGGAAGATACATAGATAGATAGAATGACTGAGATAGATAGATAGATATAAAAACCGAGGTAGATAGATAAATAGATAGATAGATATAAAAACCGAGTTAGATAGATAGATAGATAGATAGATAGATAGAATGATTGAGATAGATAGATAGATAGATAGATAGATATAAAAACCGAGGTTGATAGATAGAATGAATGACTGAAATAGATAGATAGATAGATAGATATAAAAACCGAGGAAGATAGATAGATAGATAGATAGAATGACTGAGATAGATAGATAGATATAAAAACCGAGATAGATAGATAGCTAGATATAAAGACTGAGATAGATAGATAGATAGATAGATAGATAGATAGATAGATAGATAGAATGACTGAGATAGATAGATAGATAGATAGATAGATAGATAGATATAAAAACCGAGGTTGATAGATAGAATGAATGACTGAAATAGATAGATAGATATAAAAACCGAGGAAGATAGATAGATAGATAGAATGACTGAGATAGATAGATAGAATGATTGAGATAGATAGATAGATAGATAGATAGATAGATAGATAGATAGATAGATAGATAGATATAAAAACCGAGATAGATAGATAGATAGATATTAACAGACTGGAAGAGACAAATTTATAGAAAATATACTGATTGACATAGCGAAATGAAAAGTTAACTACATCAGAAAAGCTAAGAAATTTTTTTTTAAAAAGGCAAAATAAAGAAAAAAAATGTATAAATTAGTAAATTAATAAATCTTCGAAAGTCACGTATGAAAATAAAATATAAGTTATTACCAAACAAATATCACAAACAATTGTTGCGCTGATCATAACAAAAAATAGCAAAGGATAAGAAGCAGCGATGCTCATGAACAAATGTTCGATAATTGATGGAAATTCTAACTTCAGTATATATTACGACAGAACGTGACTCAGCTTTGTAGTTACTTGATTGTATTCGAAGTGGCTCACTTTTCTCTTTTATACGAATTAAAATCATTAATGTGACTGCCTTCTGGTATCTCTCCAGTTATTTCAAACATTCTCTCTTGTCACTATTTTGTCATCTCTCTTTCATTCATCTTCTTTTTTCACACACTCGTCATCAATTACTTATTTTAACTCTCGTCTCACCCTTCTTCCTTTTAGACTTACAACTTTATTAGTGATTTTTGTCTCTTTACATCTCAGCACTTTCTTTTTCTTTTCTTTTTTTTCCTACTTGCATATAATATTCAAATTATTGACATAAACCCTTAAACATCTCTCTTATTGCATCGTTCGTTGCCATTTTACTTTCTTTCTACGATGAAATCCTTTACATCATCTCTATCTCGTCTTTCTTTTTCAAATGGCGAGCACATGCTGCTTTCGACTCATTATCTTCCTCATGTTAGGTTAATTCTGCTGCTACCTTGCAGCTTGCTCCTGTAGCGGCAAAACTATGCTGACTCAGTCACAGGTCAGGCCAATGTAGGATTGTCAGGCGGCTTCCCAAACAGTGCTCAATAGGCAGGTGAAAAAAAAAGGGTTTCGTTAAATTGGGAGTTGAGGTGTTCTCAGTGGTTGCATACCAAAGCAAAAGATCACTTTCGTACATCAAAGAAACGCACACGCCAGTGTGTGCATATATGCGTGTGTGAGCGTGTATGTACATGTATATATGTGTGTGCGTGCGTGCGTGCGTGTGGGTGTACGCGCGTGCAACTTCGTAACTTTGATAACAAGGTACTTGGTCGAAATGAGAATTACTTTAAAAACTGCTCTTTTTCTCACCTCATCCATTTCCCGCGTTTTCCTTGATATTTTTCCTTTCCTTCTTCCTCCTACTTTTTTCTCATCCCATTCCCTTTTCTCGTTCATTTCTCATTATTATTTTCTTGCATTTTCTCCACTCTTTGTTAAATAGTTCTCCTCTCTTTTTCTTTTATTCTTGTCATTTTCTCCCTCTTTTCAATTAATTTGTAATGTGATAGCTAAGACAATGCGAAATTACTATACCGTATTCAATTAATCAGTTTACTTCAGTGAGATATTATCCCTAAACCATTCTCGCTCTCAACCTTTCACTGTCGAAACTGTTAAATGTAGCCGTCTCTTCTACTCCAATAGCTTCATGTCTTGCACTTCTCGCCTGTGGAACTCCCTCCCCATTTCCTGTTTCCCTGATGGTTATAATCTCCAACTACTCAAATGTAATGTCAATCGATGTCTCCAGATGCCTTGATCTATCCCCTATCATTCTCTTCATCCTTTCCTCTATCACTCCTCTTTGCTCTCGCACCAACTCTCTGTAACCCCTTGCGTGCTAGTGGCTACCCGCCTTGCTTGGGGTTGAATGCTTAAAAAAAAAAAAAGAAGAAATATATAGCCAATCAGCTTGAACTTCATATAAATAATATTCAATATTTTGCTGTCTAAAAGGGTTCAATGAATTCTAACATTTTTAAAACGAAACGAAACTTTTGCCATTTATCATTTTTAGATTCTTCAAATTTGTCTTATTCACTGATTAATTCGAACCGGTTTCCCTAACAAATTTAGGAAAAAACAGACAGAATATCTTATTGAACTTAGCGTAGGCGGTTAAATTGCTACAAAATTCAACTTGATCCTGGAAGTCGTGAGTTCAATTCCAGTGTCAGGGAGTTCAGAATTATATACCGGCTCAATGGAGAGATAGCGTGGTTGTGATCTCTGAAATTCTTCTGAAAAGACAACCGAAGGTAAACAGCTAAGGAATGTGAACAATCGTATTTCTGGAGATCAAATAAAGGATTTCATCCGAATTTCTGGAAGATTTCTGAATGCAGTAAAGACTTTAGAAATGTCAGTGAGAATTGTTGAAATGTTATGATAAAGAAAACAAAGACAATGAAACTGGTTGGCTTTGTTAACTGAGTTGAGTGCATTGCATATCAATCAACATTTATTAATGAAAACACATTTTACTGTTATACATAATCATAATGCAAAAAAAGCCCGTTCTATATAAACTGAAATAAGATAATTTAATACGTTGTTTTCATGGAACTTACATACACTATAAATAAGATTATTTCATTTTTACTTTTTGGTTCGGTATTTGATTATTTTGGTTTGGTTTTTATACGGCATATCAACACCTCAATGGGTTATTTAATGCCGAAAAAGATTTTTATTACTGTTAATATTTTTTTCAAAAATGTATTGTTGGCAATATTTTTTTCAAAAAAGTATTGCTGGTATTAAAACCTATTTTTATACTTTCATAGTGTTTTGATCCCTTTTAGGGGGTTAACTATTTGCCCATAGCTGGTGATACCCCCCGCCCCGGGTCAGAGTGGACATGGAAAGCCAGCAATTAAGAGGTTGCTGCAAGCTCCTTAAAACCTTCTGATCGAAAACCTTGCTGTCGGATGTAGTTTATCGTCATACCCAGGACGCGGATGCAGTTTATCGTCATACCCAGGACGCGTATGTAGTTTATCGTCATACCCAGGACGCGGATGCAGTTTATCGTCATACCCAGGACGCGGATGCAGTTTATTGTCATACCCAGGATGCGTATGTAGTTTATCGTCATACCCAGGACACGGATGTAGTTTATCTTCATACCCAGGACGCGTATGTAGTTTATCGTCATACCCAGGACGCGGATGTAGTTTATCGTCTTACCCAGAACGCGTATGTATTTTATCGTCTTACCCAGGACGCGGATGTAGTTTATCGTCATACCCAGGACGCGGATGCAGTTTATTTTCATACCCAGGACGCGGATGCAGTTTTATACCCAGGTTATATCCCAGGATGCGACGCGGTTTATCGTCATGTAGTTTATCGTCCCAGGACACGGATGTAGTTTATCTTCATACCCAGGACGCGTATGTAGTTTATCGTCATACCCAGGACGCGGATGTAGTTTATCGTCTTACCCAGAACGCGTATGTAGTTTATCGTCTTACCCAGGACGCGGATGTAGTTTATCGTCATACCCAGGACGCGGATGCAGTTTATCGTCATACCCAGGACGCGTATGTAGTTTATCGTCATACCCAGGATGCAGATGTAGTTTATCGTCTTACCCAGGACGCGTATGTAGTTTATCGTCATACCCAGGACACGGATGTAGTTTATCGTCATATCCAGGACGGATAAATATCTTGGAGTCGAAGTTCTCTTCATTCAAAGGATAGCAAAAAAAATAGTTTTCTATTTATTTCATCAACAATTTTAAAAAATATGTTAAAATTAATGCAATGAAATCAAATGCCATTCAAAAAAACATCATAATTTTTCAGAAAAATACTGAGTAATGTTTATTACTTACTTGGAATGTTTTATTTGGCTGATGGAAACAACATAAAAAAATATACTTGAACCAGATAACTATTATTGGATTTTTCATATATACTGTAAAAACATTCAAGAAATGCAAACCTTTATTGAGAATTTATGAAACTCAGAATACCTGATGGGTGATAGAACTAATTTCAACTCGGGATCTCAAAACGGTAATTTGCATTTCAAGCCGTGCTCTCATTTGCTAATAAAAATTTCCCAAAATAGTTCCATTTAGGTGTAAATGTAAATGCTTAATTTGAAAATAACGAAGAAACTTTGATAAAATCTACCATTTTGAAATTATCGACAATAAAGGTTCGGACTCAATCACGTTGCGTTGGTTGAATTTGAAATTAATTCTGCACCCCCTACATGACATGTCTGGCATGGAATTGCATTTTTCTTCTACCGCCTTAAACGTGCTTACGAAAGGCGAATTATAAGATGAGTGCATATTTTGAAATTTGCTTTGAAAATTTCACTATATAAATATCAACCTATGTGATAGATTTATATTCTCTATTGAAATAAATGCATTGACGAGGAAGGTGATTAAGTTGAAGAACAAATATTTGCCTCAAATATGTTTTTGCCAACGTTCGGCAGCAAACTCATTGATGTACCTTACGTATATGTGGATTCTTCTTCTGCGTCTAGTGTCACTTCAGGACTTTGGCGATCATGGTTCTCCACATCATTCTGTCATTTGTAGCTCTTAGTTGGGCTTGTTGTTTTGTCCCTTCCCAATATCTGTGATGCCAACCATTTACGTAACCTCGTTATGTAGGTTATTCACTGCTTTCCTCTGTCCCACTTGCCTTCATTTTGCCTTGTGAGTGTCAGATTCTTCAAGCCTTCTTTCCTTATTATGCGCCCTAGAAATTTAAACTGTTTATTGTTTTCCTTTTCCTTAAAACTTCGTCTTTACTCACATGTTCAGTCTATTTTATTATCAGCATCCTTCTGTAGAACCACATTTCTGTTGCCTCAAGCCGATTCTTTATTTATTAGGAGATTGGACAGCATTCTCTGCCATATAGAGGGACCGATATTACATAACAGTTCCACATTCATTTTTTGTTTCTAAAGTAATTTTCCTGTTTCTTAATGCTTTGCTTAGCTTTTGGAAGGTATCTTTCGTTATTCAAATGTCACTTTTTCTCTCCTCTGTTAAAAACTTCCGAAATATTTACATTTTCGTATTTGCTTAATTCTGCTGTCACCATTTCGTAGTTAGCATCTTGGATCATTCCTTTTTCTGACAACCAAACATTCTGTCTTCTTACAATTGACACACTTAGCCCTTTCTTAGCGCCTTCCTTTACTATGTGATGGATAATATTTTGTATAAATAACACTGACATTTCATTTTAACAGATATATTTATCAAAGTATCTGTCTATATCTCTGAGATCAGGTATTGTGTACACTATTTACATTATTCGGACTATTTGTTACCTAAATTATCATGCAACACCGTGCACAGTGGATAAAGGCGTTGGATAGATCTAGTGACAGGACCCCAAAAGTGGTGAGTTCAATACGTGGTTAAGGCCGGAGCGTACAATGGCCGAAACGTTGTAATAAATATGGCGACAAAGATGAGGACAATATTCCGAATAATGTAAATAATGTACATAATACCTCATCTCAGAAATATAGACAGATACTGAAGAAGGCCGGAGCGTACAACGGCCGAAATGTTGTAATAAATATGGTGATAAAGATGAGAACAATAGTCCGAATAATGTAAATAATGTATATTTTACAATGTAGCTCAAATATTTATGTCTTATCTAAACCTGAATATTTCTTCCCGGAATTTAAACGACTACTTTTGTGTGTGTAAGCCGATGTACAAAAACAAAAAAAACAACAAAAACAAAACGAAGAAAAACAAAACAAACAAAAAAAACAAAAAAAGAAAAAAGAAAAAACAATATTAAAACTAATGAATCTCAAGAAAATTGGTTGCATGGAAAACAAAGAAATCATAGATATTAATATGACTTCATATCGATGTATATCGATAAGAAGAGACTTGGTGTCACTTAATCTCCACTTTGAACATTTAGTGAGTTTATGGTGCATTGGAAATATAGTATTTAGTACTGATTACTCGGAGATGCAAATGACTATTTTCTATTTCTGCTGCACTTTTTAAACTGTATCAAAAGAAAGTTCCGGTTTCCGTGTCAGCGGCAAAATTAATTATGCCCCATGTTCAAATAATTTTGAAACAACCGTTTTAGTTTTTTTTTTCATTCACCATACGGTCAGTTTTAGACCCACTGGAATGACAAGGTGTAATCGATTTCTATTTTTTCCTCGGATTAGTTCATTTGCAGTGGTGTGCAGTAATATGAATCTATTTTCGGGGTTTTTGATGAAAGTTGTTTGGCCTTGAAAAATATTGCATAAAAAAGAGTGATTGCATCAGATTTTTATCTCGCCCAGACACTATTATCTTGATTGTTGATTAGTTGTCCTAGGTCCATTGTCTGCGATGGAGGCTACTACAAGAAAGCGTACGAAAATTGGCAAGCGTTACCAGTGAGCAAATCAAACTACTATAGATTGGCCCGGAAACTCTCCTGATTTAAATCCAATCGAGAACCTGTGGTCAATCTGCAAGAAAGGACTTTTTGGAATGGACATACAAAGTACTAATATGTGCACTGGGTCATATATATGGCGATTATCCATGGAAGTGGCCGTCGAAGATGTAAATTAGAAAAACAGGAAAATGTATCTTTTAAAACTTATACTGAGATTAAACTTAATATGGCGTTGGAGGTTCGTCTAAAACTCTTTGTTTGCGCTTCATATATATTAACCTTTTAGACATAGAACATCATTTCTTCAAACATTGTTAAACTCATGTGAATTCTATTTTAATCGAAGCACTTCTACCTAAGGTTGAATGCAAGATCGTTAAACATGTCATTTATTTTCAGAAAAGAAAAAATCGGGCAATGTAACAACTGCCATTAATAGAACATTTTTTTATAATAATCCTGCGTACAATAATAAATGTTATTCGCACCTATTTCAGCACGAACATACATGAGGGCACACTCATGTCACATGTAACGAAAATGGAAATCTATGGCTGCCAAGAATCGATGAAGTTCTGAAGCTATAGTGACTGGAAATTCAAGTTTAACAAATCACTCGTGGAATTCATAACTCACTCTATGAAAAACTGGGAAGCAAACTCAACCGACAGAGAAAATTTAGCAGGGATGAGCATCAAAAGAGGGATTTTTCATGGAGACTCACTGTCTCCACTACTATATGTTATAGCTATGATATTACAAAATCTTACATTAAAAATCAGTAAAATATGCCAGTCCTCAAACAAAAAAAGGTAAAAATAGGCAATGAGGTCATCAATATGGATGATATAAATTATTTGCCAAGAATAAGGAAAACACGAAAATCTGATCACCCAAGTTAAAAGATTTTGCAGCGCCATCGTTACTGGAATATGACTTTGTAATACAGGAAGGAATGGAATAAAAAACAAATAAGAAAGGTATACCGTAATTCCCCATGTATAATACGCCTTCATCAATAATACGCATCCCTAAAATTGTGCTGAAAGTGTGGAAAAATGCTTCCAATTTCATTACGACCAGCGTTTCCTACTTTTATTAAAAAATGGTTTTAAACATTGAATAATATTCGAATTTAGTTTTATGATAATTCTTATTTTATTTTATGGCAGTTTTTAATGATTTTTTGTAGCTGTGCATAATGCGCATCCCTGATTTTGCTTATTATTTTTTAGAAATAATGCGTATTATACATTTGAAATTACGGTATCTGAGGCGTATAACTAAATAGCAGAAAACTGATAGGAATCAACACCTGGCCAGTATTGATAGTAAGATGCAGAAGACCATTCCTCGACTGTAGCAGTAAAAGGAACACAATACATTGACAAGCGAAGAAACTCAGAACCTAATCACTACTTTACATCCGGAAGATGACAGATTATATTGACAAATGAAGTCAGCAAAGGATTCATCAACATTAAAGATTGGGTCGAAACGGTCAAAATATAAATGGTTAAATACATGTAATAATTCATGGATAATATTTTATGGCCAGAAAAATGCGACAAGGAATAAAAGCAGAAAACGACAGAGAAGTCAGGAACTCTACAAGGAAAAAGAACATTATTTACATTATTCGGACTATTGTCCTCATCTTTGTCGCCATATTTATTACAACGTTTCGGTCGTTGTATGCTCCGGCCTTCTTCAGGTGGTTAGAATGTCAAACTGAACCCTTTATTTCGCTCACTGGGTTAGACTGTTCTAGTTCCACGTTTAATTGATGTCAGTTATCAGTAATCCCCTGTTAATTCCCCTCTGAAAGTTCGCAGGGTAGAACTTTCAGAGGGAAATTAACAGGGGATAATCATAACCGGGTATTGAACTCACACTCTTTGTCCAACCCACTGGATCTTCAGGTGGTTGGAATGTCGAACTGAACCCTTTATTTCGCTCACTGGGGGAGACTGTTCTAGTTCCACGTGCCATGTTTAATGGGTATCAGTTATCAGTTATCTCCTGTTAATTTCCCTCTGAAAGTTCTAAGTGCCTTAGCCAGGTATTGAACTCACACTCTTTGGTTTCAAAGAAATTTCTTAAAATGTGAGTAGTAATCATTATGATAATCTTTTGTATTTCAAGTAAAGCTGGATTCCTGAGATTTTTTCATGCGTTTGTCAGCATTATTTTAAATCAGTTTTAGAACTACTAGAATAATGGTAGTGTTTAAACGCTACATGAAATCCGAGGGCAAAATAACACTTCGAGAACCGTTTTCCTGCATTGGTAAGTTATAATGTTGAGATATTTTCCAATGGAGTTATTGTCTACCATATCATGCATATATTTTTTTAATAAAGATATATGATTATTTTTGTTTTTGTTAGAACAATTGCAAAAAGATTTTCAGAACGTTGAAAATATTCGGAAGACAACATTCATAAAATCAGTTGGAGTTTAAATGAAACTTTTACAAGAACAATTTGGAAGCAAGAATTGTTGCGATAATCATTAAATAGCAACAATAAGGATGCTGTTAATGGTGCTTGAAATATAAAAAAAAAAACCTTGCTCGAATTAAATTAAGAGGAGCATTTGTCTCAAATCTGTAGGAACCCTGGTGAACAGTCTCACTATATCTAAGCTTAGCATGCGAATCTTATGGGTGAAGACAGTTCGAATTGATTTCATGAAGACTTTGTTTTTAGTGCGTTCACCATACATATGCCGCAGATTAATCTAACGTTGAGTCAGCTGTCTATATTTATTCATTGAAAAGTAGTCCTTGTTCTTATTTAGAAACCTGTGACAACTTTGGATTTTTAGAGCCATTAATTTAAGAAAAGAAGAACAGAAGCATGACAAAAGGACTGCAGTAACACAGGAGGAAAAAGCAAAAAGAAACGACAGCAGAGGGAGGCAAGAAGAAAATTAGGTTTTAGGCTCTAAATTTTAACTTCAGGGTTGTGATACGGGACAATGGCCGAGATGATTAAAGCGAAAAAAGAAATTAAATCAATTGGTTGGATAGTAATACAGATATATAAGGTGGATGCAGAACTAGAAAAAATGAGCTTAATAAAAACAATTCACTAAGGTATGGAACAATCTACCACACCTCATAGGTTAAAAAATGGGCCCAGTTTGAAATTCCGTGAATGTTACAATGAAGAAGGTTGGTAGGTATAACGGCCGAAACGTTTTGATTGTAACAATAAAGATGAGTACAATAGTAAAACAATAAATAATTTATATAAGTATAACCACAGCATCCATAATGGGATAAAAGCGGAAATTGCTTCATGTTTACTATTTATACTTTTATTCTTTGAAATCTTGAAGTCGATATTTCTGTAATTTCATGAGAGCACAAGAAGACATACTATTAAGAATTTAACTGGTGAAGAAAGGGACGCTTTTATTTTGCAACAGCATATTTAAAAGTAGGAAATACTTATTTGTTTATACAAACACGCTTGTAAATACATGCACGCATACGCACACTCATATACATCTGTAAATCGAATTATTTAAGCCATCTATTACATACACGAAAGTTTAAGTATTTCTTACAAAAGACATGAACTTTTTCTCTCATAAATCCATACACAGGGTTACTTCGGCGTGTTGCAATTGTTAAACCAGGCGCTAGAACAATTACGACTAAACAGTGAATTCGATCCTCACTGAGCGCTCCATACTTTCGGGGTTGTGTCACATCTAAGCTATGCATAGAAAATCATTGAGCACTTCGACTTGGCGTAATGGTTAGCAAGCTTCTCCCGCTAGTTCAATTACAACTGAGTAGTGAGTTCATTCCTCACTGGGTGCTCCATATTTTCAGCATAAGGTTACATCTAAGCTACGCTTAGAAAATTAGCATCAATACATACACAGTAACATATTTGTTGTATTCTATAAACATACGCATACACTCGTATCTATCTATCTATCTATCTATCTATCTATCCTAGTTGGTTCATTATCTATATATCCCAGTCTGTTCATTATCTATCTATCTATCTATCTATCTATCTATCGCAGTTTGTTCATTATCTATCTATCTATCTATCTATCTATCTATCTATCTATCTATCTATCTATCCCAGTCTGTTCACTATCTATCTATCTATCTATCGCAGTTTGTTCATTATCTATCTATCTATCTATCGCAGTTTGTTCATTATCTATCTATCTATCTATCTATCTATCTATCTATCTATCTATCTATCCCAGTCTGTTCATTATCTATCTATCTATCTATCTATCTATCCTAGTTTGTCCATTATCTATCTATCTCAGTCTGTGCATTATCTATCTATCTATCTATCTGAATGTCTGCATATACTATAACATTATCCCACCAATGAATTGTAACAAGCAAAGGTCCTCAACCCCTGTATACTCCGCGAATCTTGATCTCCTCCTTACTCTCCTTTCTTCTACCTTCCATTCTTCCTTGACCTTTGTTTCGGATCATCTTCAGATATTTTTTCTTTTTTTTTCTGCGTCGAACATCGCCATCTGGGCCAAAAAGAATCCAAGCGACTTTGGAACTTGGAAGAAGCGTTATTTGCCATCTTGGTGGCGTCAAGGGAGAATCGAACCAACTTCTCATGATAAACTCGTAAAGTCGAAATTTGTCCATAGCAAAAGGAACCACGAATATATCACAATGGCAGCTACATACAGATTAAAGTATTAGCAAAAAATAGAAAAGAAATGAATAAATGTAGGAAATTCCTACATCAGTTTAATATAAGCCAACGTGTTCATATATACACACGCAAGTATTACACAGTACTTTTTTCTTACGTGCGTCATTGTCTGCATTCGTAAAAATGTTTTAAGCGCATATTAGCGTCAGTTGCATTAGAATCGTAATATACGTATATATATGAACAAGCATCTACTTACATATTCGTAAATAGACAGCTTTGTGCATTTTTATTTTCGTATATGGGTTTGTGGATTCTGTTAGAAAATCTAATTGTGCTCAGAATACGCAAGTTTACTTATCCTTACGTGTGCCTGTCTAGTATGTGTGTGACCGTGTATACGTGACTTGATTTTAGTATTACTTTTATTTGTCACACCATGCAAATGATTGTTCGTAATATATATATATATAATATATATATATATATATATATATATATATATATATATATATATATCAAGACGTCTGAGTGTGTTTAGGTTCTTATATATATATATATATATATATATATATATACATACATATATATATATATATTATTGTTTTGCATATCACACGGTATATGTATTTCCATGTACACAGGCGGTTTTATGTGCACGTGTACATTTCTATATGTAAGGATTAAGAAAGTATACGCACATGTGTATGTGTTGATAAGACGGGTGTGACTTACACTAAATCTTAGTGTAAGTTCATATATTGCTGTCTACATTGCATATGTATGTGTGTGTTGGGTAATGCCTTGTCGATACATATTAATGTGTGTGTTTATGATTATATATATATATATATATATATATATATATATATATATATATATATATATATATATATACAAATGAATGTATGTATACACACGTGTATGTGTGTGTAAGTTTACAGGCTTGTACTTATACAAAATAAAAAAAAAGAATGCGATTCCCGGCGAGACTAGTAATCCGAACATTGAAGTGGTTTTTACGGATATTGTTCCGACCTGCAGAAAAGAGGCATTTCCCTGTGAAGTTGATGCAGTTGGAAGTGTCCCTCTCCCTATCTCCGACCTCCCTCTTGACTTCCACCAACCTCTCACCACCAGTAGCCTTGCCTTACCTCCTTTGCCGCCAACCTATCTGTCGTATACAGTATAGACAGGCCCGTGTTGGGAGGCTGATTCCCGTCACAAAGACCCCCGCCATCTTTGCCTACGCTTTTGTCTGTGAGGCGCCGCCTTCCTATCGGGCCTTCGAGCGGGAATTCAACTTGTGTAGTTTATATCTTTCCTTACTTAGGCTTCACTGATACATTCACAGAGCACAGGCGGATGGAGGCCTGGAGTTAGAACTTAAAGGGATAGGGCTGGGACGTAAAAGAAGCAAAACTCGAAATAATGGTGAAAGATAGCCAATGTATGTGTGCATTCGGGAAAGGAGGTAGTGGCGCTAAGAATTGTGGCTATAGTATTGAAAAAAGAATCTTGGTACAGATCTTATCCGAATATAGTAAATGTCTTTATTTTCAGCTAGTCTTTCTTATTTTTTTTTGTACAAAGAAAAAAACAAACAAACAAAAAGAAGTTTATCTATCTATCTATCTATCTATCTATCTATCTATCTATCTATCTATCTATCTATCTATCTCTCCCTCTCTCTCTCTCTCTCTCTCTATATATATATATATATATATATATATATATATTTATATATGAACTGTTTTGAAGTCAACATTTAGAAGGCGACTGGCTGTTTCATGCTGGGTGCAATCGTCAAGAAACAGCCTGTATATATATATATATATATATATATATATATATATATCAATATTCACTTTTATATTTATCTACGCTCTATCTCTGATATTGAGCACTTTATCCCATAAATATACCACACCTTAAAACTATATTTCTTCATATTCATATATATATATATATATATATATATATATATATATATATATATATATATATATATATATATATATCACTTTGGTTTTGAAGCGGCAATCGAATGAGATGTTTTTTTTGCAGTTTTATATCTCGTTGTTTTATCATTAGATTCTAACTCTTCTACTTTATTTGCTATTTTAAATTTTTTTCTCTCTTTTTATTACAATTCTTTCTTCTTCGTTGGATTTTAAAAGAAAATGAGTGAATCAGAAAGGGTTTCATTTAATCGAGTAAAGGAGAAGAGAAGAGGAAATCGAGAAAGCTGAGATTAAAGTATGTATTTTGATAGAGCAATGATAATACAACAATATGGCGGAAACTGTCATTAAAATACAAGATGTAACATTTAACAGAATCGGAAGACAGAGAAACAAAAAAACATAATTTAAATATCACAATAACGTTTTAACTATTTGGTATTGGTTGCGAGTGGCCTAAAACTGAATTTTAGTCTTTTGAATGAAATTCAGTTTTAAGCCAACTGTAACTCGATCGGCAATAAGCAGTTTTGAATCATGTTACGTTTGTATACATATCAATATATTTTTTTTCAGTTTATACGTTACGATACGTTTTGTGTTAGTGTGAATCGTTTGATGTTTTAATTCGGATCGCATGACGGTCCTTGCCCCCGAACGACAAACATCAAACATCAAGGCTCTGTATTCTAGCTTGAGAGAATTGTCAAAAACTTCGTAATAAAGTTGGACTCGATGGATCGGAGAAACTTTATGTATACGCGATGGTACGCGACGTTACCATTATTGTTTCTTTGGTTTGTATTGTTTTACGGCATATCAACCACAATGGGTTATTTAATGCCGACAATTTTTTTTTCCAAAATGTATAGCTGGTAATTTTTTCAGAAATGTATAGTTTGGTTTGTTTTGTTTTGTGTCATATTAACCTCAATGGGTTAATTAATGCTCACAAGATTTTTATTTCTGGTAATATTTTCTTTTTTCAAATATTTATTGCTGATACTAATCTTTAAAAAAAGTATTTCTGGTATTAAAATCTTATTTTTTACACTTTCATAGTGTTTTGAGTCAGCTTGGGGGGTCAACTATTTGCCCATAGCTGGGACCCTAGCAGGTGCTACCACCTCGGGTCAGGGTTGACCTGGGAACACCAGCAATTAAGAAGTGGTTCCACGCTCCTCAAAACCTGATCAGAGGCCTTGCTGTTGGACGTAGTTTATCGTCTTACCCAGGACACGGATGCAGTTTATCGTCATACCCAGAACGTTATTATTATGGTGCTAAGGACAATATTTGTAGATAAAACAAAAACGAATGATTTAGTGAACAAAATCTTCAGAAATACAAATTTCCTAGGAGGACGATTGGGTAATGTAACAATGTTCATTATGTTTATTGAATAAAAAAATAATTTTACTAAATTGCTGAATATGGCAGATTATTGAAAAGTTTTAACTGTTTTTGCTTGGACACCAAAAAAGCATGTTGACTATCATTTTCTTGATGGAATATTGTGCTCTTATAGCTGTGTAATTCCCAAAGATTGTTACCTTCGTTTGGTCTGATATTGAGAAGTACTTGATCGATTCAGCCATTTGATTCTCCGGAAGGATATCATTGAAGAGGGCTACCGCCTGCTTTCGCTTTATACAAAGTATCTCATTATCTGAATATGGTCACCGTTGGTTCATTTCATTTATCCGACGATCTCTTGCATTCCGCATTGTTGTAAAGTATCCACTTTTTATCACTCATCAGAATTTGTTTAAAAAATGGGACATTTTCATTATGCTGAAGACACACAACACACAATAACAAATTAATATAACCAAGCTGATGTAAATGACTTTCAACGCTTAATTGACTCAAACTGGTCTACTAAACCGTTCACCATGACTTCGTGAAAATTGGGAAACAAATTTTGACACGGTTTTCAATCAAAGCCACTTTCTCCATAAACTTCACAAATCTTTTTACGCTTGAGTCGCATTTACATTTTTCTTAAAATAAAAAGCAAATGCTTAAAATATTCCTTATTTTCCAATTCTTCAATATTAGAATTGACTGATAGAAAACAGGTCTGCCCTGACCCGAGGTGGTAGCACCTGTTAGAGTCCCATCTATGGCAAATAGTTAACCACAAAACTGAGGTAAAAAGCATTACGAAAGTGTAAAAATATGTTTTAATACCCGAAATACTTTGTAAAAAATTATTACCAGAAATAAATTTTTGAAGAAAAAACTATTACCAGCAATACATCTTAGAAAAAAAAAAATTACCGTTTTTAAAAAAAAAAAAAGAAAAAAATTACCCGCAATAGATGTGATTGTACTCAAAAATATGAGTAATTGAAAAATGGTTCAAATATATATATATATGTATACATACACACCTTTTTTTTTAACCAAACTATCGCTATGAATCTATTTCAGAAATTTTGTTGTCATTAAATGACCCACTGAGGTTTTTATATGCCATAAAACAAAGCAACTTGAAAGGGTGAGCATATGCTACATCATCAGGCTGATAATACATTGCTGGTTGATAATACAGTATAAATTTTTAGATATTTTTATCAATGTCCTTTGATGTGATCAGACAAGCTTTTCGAATGTAGTTAAAACTAAACACTTTTCTTGCTTTCAAGTAACAAAAACATAACGAATGGTCGGGCCAACCCAATATTTTATCAAAGTGTACGAGAAAACTTTAGCTGTCAGCACTCGTAAATTGGAACTTGTCCGCGTCTAGGAACTTTGTCATTCGTGTGTGATGACCAGGTTTTAAAGCTGGAAACCTATGTCAGTTTTAATTATGAGGGATTCCAGGTTATATAGAATTCGTACGCGCACGCAGTTAATGCAGGCAACTAATTATATTTTGCAACATCACTGTTCATCAGTTAACCTAAATGTTTCAATAATTATCTCCAAACGTTTTTTTTTTTTTTACTTTAGACACTTGTAAATATATATTAGATTGTGTTGAATAATACTGTGATAAACCAATAACAATGAATTAAGAAACATTTCATGCAGTTTTATTTTCAATTTTTCATGTCTTCACAAAGGTGTACATGTAATGTGAAGCTTTGAAGCTTCACATTACATGTACAACCTTGTGTAAATTAATTGAAACAACCGCTTTAGTTTCTTTTCATTCACCATCCGGTCACCATCTGGTCACTGGAGTGACAGGGTGTAATCGATTTCTGTTTTTTCCTCAGATTAGATCATTTGCAATGGTGTTCAGTAATATGAATTTATTTTCGGGGTCTATGATGAAATTTGTTTAGCCTTGAAAAATATTGCGTCATCAGTGATTGCATCAGATTTTTATCATGCCCAGACACTATTGTCTCGACTGTCGATTAGTTGTCCTACGGCTATTGTCTGCGATGGACGTTATTCCAAGGAAGCGTACGAAAATTGTAACACTGCACGAACACACTGGCAAGCCTTACCAGTGAGCAAATCAAAGTACGATAGACTAGCCTGGAAACTCTCCTGATTTAAATCCAATCGAGAATCAGTGGTCAATCTGTAAGAAACGTGTAATGGACATACGAGGTACTAATATGTGCATTGGGTCATGTTTCATTGGAAAAAAAGTAAATAATAACGGAATTATTCGTTTTGTTTCAATTAATTTACACAAGGATGTATGTATTAGTACCTGAAGAAGACCAGAGCGTACAACGGCCGAAACGTTGTAATAAATATGGCTACAAAGATGAGGATAATAGTCCGAATAATGTAAATAGTGTACATAATACCTCATCTCAGAAATATAGACAGATACTGAAGAAGGCCGGAGCGTACGACGGCCGAAACGTTGTAATAAATATGGCGACAAAGATGAGGACAATAGTCCGAATAATGTAAATATTGTACATAATGCGTCATCTCAGAAATATAGACAGATACTGGAAGCCGTGTTTTATATTCCCGTCCATTGGTTTATATGAGTGGTCAAAATGTCTCCAGGATATACGAGATATTTAAAGAACATCACAAGGATGTAGAAAATATTTCAACATGGATTTGAAGCATATGTATCTGGAAATTGGGTGAATATTTATGCAAGTATTCATCTGTGAGGTATTTATACTACCAGGGATTAGGTAATGTTCTGTATACCGTTCTTTGTACGCCAACGAAAAGTAATTGAAACTTGAAAAAAGAGGCGGAAATCCGATTGTTAGAAAAAATAGAGAAAAGAATGTTGCTGTCGTTCCTCGCTGAGATGTGTACTTATTTTGTTCTCGAAGTCGAGGCTATGTTCCATCTTGACTGCTTATGTATCTTTCATTTTAATTTCAACATAACTGCTTGATTTTTTTTCGTGTTCATTTCTCTTATTTGCTTTTAAGCAATGCATTATTTATGCGGAACAATATTTTGTGAAATTACATATCCTTATCCTTTCATATATATATATATATATATATATATATATATATATATATATATATATATATATATGTAATTTAAAGAAAAACAGACCACTTTAAGGCTCCATTGTAATAATTTATTTCACCAGAGAATTTTAACCTTCTCTGGATCCTCAGACTTCACTTTCAAGAGGTGAAACGAAAAATGAATTTAAAATTTACACTTTTGACGGGCGGTATTAAGCTTATATAAGTTGACATAGAGGGCGGTGAGGGATGGTATAAGAGACATGGTCGAGTTTAGAGCGAGAAGGGAGAGTTTTAAAATTTATTTTTATATTTATTTTTATTATAATACTTAAATTTGAGGGAGGAGGGGGTAAGGATC